TACCTTCTGCTGTCTTCATTTGTTTCCCTATCATCTAACTCTACCTTGTATCAGCATTTCAGTTCTTCTTCCTTCTCTTCTTCCTTTTTTTTTTTTTTTTTTTGAGGACTCAAAGCAGAAATTATGTTCTAGTACACACTGATATAAATGTTGTAAATCTTGTACTATGGAGCTGTGGACTCAGATTTCTATACCTTACTCCACATAGTAGAAACTTCATTTTTTAAAAAAACATAAAAATACAGCACACCTGTAATCCCAGCACTCAGCAGGCTGAGGCAGGAGGATCACTGCAAATTCGAGACCAGCCTGGGCTACACATTGAGTTCCAGGGCAGTCTGAACTACATAGTAAGACCCTGTGGAAAAAAAAAAAACAAACAAAAAAGCAAAAATCTAGAACAGAGAAGAATTAAACCAACAAAAGAACAAACATTAAAAACTAAAAATTTTCTGTTTCCTTTTTGACTGTCTTTCTATACCTACAGAGACTGATGACCAGTTGCAGTAGGCAGATCAGTAGACAGTGAGTCCAGAGAGGTCATCCAAATGTCCCTCATAAGGCGCAGAGTGGAGCACAACCTTTCAGCCTTTCACAGGTCTCCTCCAGCTCCTTTGCTTTCTACACTTTGCCTTGTAGAGCTCATTCAGCTCCATGGCTTACCTCATCTCTTCAATACTGACCACTCCCAAATCTGTATCTTTAGATATCACTTCATTTCAGCGGTATCCTCAACCTTTGCAAGCCCCACTTACTATAAGTTCAACCCTAAGTGAAGTTATCTTCCCCACGAAGGGCTCATCTTAGTTTCTTTCTGTCTTTCATCATCATTATCCATTTCTAATCTTCTTGGCTTTTCTAAGGGATTACTTAACAGAGTCCTACAATGATTTATAGCCAACAAAGCATACCTTCCTTATTCATTCTCCTTAGGTATTATTTCTATCCATTCCTTTCTTTTGCTGCCCCTACAGTCTTAGTATAGGTCTAGGTCTGTATTCCCCTCTGCCTGGTTTACCCCAATAGTTTCCCATTTGATGTGCTGGATTCCATTCTCTCTTTTTCTAATCCACTCTATGAGCTACCTACTGCCAGATAAACTTCTGTATTTTTCTTCTTGTAACAGGGCAATTTAGTTCCAAAAACATTTTAATAGTTTATCACATAATTCAAAGGATGCTGACACTGTGCCATATACTGTGCTAGGTTATGAGACAGTGAAGAAAATGTAAAATCTTGTTGTTTTATGGAACTTGTATTCTACTGGAAGGGAGATACATTAAAGAAAAAGTATGGATTTTATGAGCTTTTCAAAAGAAATGATGTTGAGGAAGAAGTGGATGGTCAAGTGTGCCAAGCAGAGGTGGCAGCATGGTGAAAAGTTGTGAATTAGGAGTCTGAGAGCTTCCAAGAATGCAGAGAAGCAGAAGATGGCAAGAGCGGGAGGATGGTCAGGTGTCAGTAGTGATGCTAGAAAGGTAAGGAATGGTCAGGTCTCATGATTGTTGGTAAACTGTATTAACTATATTAAGGAATTAAGAGTTTATTGTAGGAGTGATGGAATGTTGAGGAAGTTGAAACAGGGCGAAGATGCCATTCCTCTTACTCAAAACTTTTAACAATTTCATACTTTCCTCACTATATGCATCCATCTAAACTCACTTGGTGTTTGGGGTCTTCCACAGTGTGGTCTCACTGAGATACTGCTGAGTGTTCTAAGTCTCTCAAAGCTGAATTACTAAGTTCAGGCTGGTCTTCTCTTGACTTTTTCAGTGTGTGTTCCAAACGAGGTTGGAATTTGTAGGAACTGTTGTGCATCTTTTGTATCCTTCAGAGTGCTAAATTGATGGTTGATTTTAAATTATGTAGAGTATGGAACATAAGAGATATCATCATGGAATCGTGTTTCCCTATCTATTTTAAAATTAACTCATAGATATGAGAAAACTTCAATGTAAATTCTGGATGACATATTTTTAAGGTAAAAAATCACTACAGTCATGAAGTATGTTTTTGATATCTGCTTTCTAGAACTGTTTTTAAGGAAGCCCTGTCTGCTTATAGAAAAAAATCTTGAGGGGGTCATACTTATTGAGAATAATTAAAAATTCATTGAAAGATCTCCTAGTGGTTGTCACATTCCCATTTGGTGCTTGAATCACCCTTTGCATCACAGCAGAAACATAGGACTTTATATCTATCACCTTTCAATGTTGAGCACTGACTGTAGGAAGACACTTTATTTGTATAGCATGTATTTTTTTCCATTTTGCCATTTGTCCTTCATATTTATCATTTTGTGGCTCTTAATCCATTGAGAAGACTTCTTAACTGTTTCTTCACTTTTGAAATGATTTTAAAAAAATAAATGAAAATGGCTTTCTCTTTTCAGTATGTCTAAAATGGCACCCCCTTGTCGACTTCTCATTGTTGGAGCCAAGGAATGTGACATGCGCTGTGCTTGATGTTCCTCTATGTGATTTTCATTTGGCAGCACTCTTACGGATGTGTAATGACAAGTCAAAGTAGGACTCGAAGGACAGGGAGAGGGCATAAACCACAACCTACCAAGAAAGGGTACCAGTGGAGAAACCTAGTATTTTATAAGGGTATATGGATTTCAGTTAAAGTTGGAGGACTTGCCCAAAATCTTAATTAATTTTAGACATCAATAAATGAGTTCATCTCAAAACAATTAATAACCATACAGTGATACCTCAGTTGTCAAACTTAATTCATTCTAAATTCATATTCAAATACTGAAAAGTTTGAAAATTGAATATATTTTTCACTTGAGAAATAATGGAAAATCAGATAAGTGGTTCTGAGGACCCAAAATTACACATATAATTTCATTTTTACGGGACGTTAACAAATTTTGCAGTGATTTCTTTGACTCTATTACAGTTCTCATAGTTTTCCTCTTAACTTTACTGCTGGTATCACTAACTTTCTTTAAAGCCATCGTTACAACATTTTATGCAAATAAACACCAAAAACAAAAAAAAGCACAATGATGAAAATTTTAAAGCGCCAACACAAGCACTGTATCTTGTTTGAGAGAGAGCAGCGCTTAGGCTGAAGGGTTGCCCCTTTGTGTGCATGGCCAGATGAGTTTAGACATGGCGTGTGTTCACTATCGGCCTGTACAGGTTTTTTCAAGTAACTTTTTCGGTTCAACTATCGAGCAACGTTACAAACATCGAGCAGACTTTTTTTTAAAAAACTTTGCTGTTTGAGTAGTGGAAAGTTTGAGGTGGGAGCCATTTGACAACAGAGTTAGCACTGTACTGTATTTCTATTTTGATGTAAGTAATGTAAGGTCACAATAATCAATTAAGATCTAACACTTGGGCTTCCTTGTCTGAAAGCCTCAGATGTTGTCTTATACGATAATAATGGAGTTTATAACTTAATATAAACTTTGGTTGGCATAGCCAAGTTGGGTGGTAAATTAAATAGTTTATATGAAACTATATATTTCAGGCAAGTAATTTAAAATGCTTGCATTTGGCTGTAGCCTATGATTCTAGAGCAGTGGTTTTCTTTTATTTTTAAAAATTTCTTCCTTAATGTTTATTTATTTTTTTGAAGCAAAACATTTATTGGTACATTTTAGATATACATAATGATCACATTCATCATAGGGGATTTATACCTATATATGATATATTTTGCTTCTTTTTTCTCATTCTTCCTTTGACCCCTCTTCCCCTCCTTATTTACAAAAACTTTGTTTCCATTTTTCCTTCTGTTCTTTCTTTTTTTTTCTTATCCCTTCTTTCCTTCCCCTTCCCCCTCCCTTGTTACCCTTCTCATTTGAACAATTGCTTCCCATTTTCCAATATCTTATTATACATTTTAGTCCTCATTTCCACTTTTGATTTCTCACATCATAGAAACAATGCAGTATTTAAACATGTGTCTCTGATTTATTTCACTTTAGAGTATGGTTAGAGCAGTAGTTTTCAACAAGGGCTGATTTTACTTCCCAAGGAACATAGAGATTTTTTTTTTTGTACCAGGAATTGAACTCAGGTCCTTGCGCTTGCAAGGCAGGCCACCGGACCGCTAGGCTAAATCCCTGGCCCTTGAGAAATTTCTATAGAGATATTTTTGATTGTCCTGACTGTGAGGATGCTAATGATAGTGGGTAGAGTTCACTAGATATTATTGTGTGATTAAATATCCTACAGTGGACAGCTTCCACAATAAACAATTACCTAGCCCAATCTTCAGTATGGCTAAGAAACTTCAGTCTAGAGTGATTTTTTTTTTTGGGGTGCTAGGGCTTGAACTCGGGTCCTTGAGCTTGAAAGCCAGGCGGTGGTACCACAGAGCTAAATCTCTGACACATAGAGTGAATTACTTTTAAATTTCTTGTTGTGAGTTAATGCTGTTTTCAAAATACAGTTCTGAACATTCTGAGACACTGAACCACCAGTCATTGGGCAGTGATTGAAGCCAATGGGATACAAAGAGCTTTAAGGACGAGAAGAAGTATTAGCAGAGCATTTTCCTGTTCGTTTTCTCGCTAAGTGTCTATGCTTTGAAAATATTTTTATTCATTAAAAGAAGCAAATGAAGTTCAGTAAATCTTGAGAGAGTCTACTGTATGATATTTAATCACTAAATTAAAGTGAGGAATCCATGTTCTCACATGGAGCAAGATGAAATATAGTGTACTGAAGGAAATGTCCAATTAGCTTAACATACAAATGTTAGCTATAATGAGCCTTTTGTGTTTTATTATGCCAAGTTGTTGCTCTCTCTGCCTTGTTAAAATTCTCATTTCCAAAGGTGAAAGATCAGAAAGAGATAAAGATCTATGAATGCTAATTATCAGTCAACCAACATGTATTTATTAAACTTTTATGGGTTTGGCAATTTACTAATTGGGAATATGAAAATGTTATGATAACATTTCATTTTTATTGAGTTGACATTGTGCCAGCTATTAGCATACTCTTACCAAATTTAATTATCACAATTACCACCAGGAGCAAGTCACATTACTCTCACTGGAAAGATCAGGAAACCGAGGCCCAGAGAGATGAGCTGTTCAAAGTTACTCAGCTGGGGAGTGATGTAGCTGTGATTCATTCAAATGCAGGTTGGTTTGACTCCAGAGTTTTATTCTCCCAACTATTACAACTCTCTACATCCACCTCAAGAAAGAGGCACTTTATTTGCATGGCATGCAAACCAAGCAAAGTATGCCAGTGAAATCTGCTTTGTGATCCTCTATTTGACCAGATGAACTACTCTTAATTGGAAGAACTATGACTGGTACATGTAATGAATGCAATATGATGTCATTCTCAGGAATGTATGACGATAGAATATCTCAACTCTTCTTTATTATTTTTTATTTTTTTAAATTGAGTTTTTTGGTACATTTTAGGTATACAGTACAGTTACATTCACTATTGGGATCCTGTACCTTTACATGACAGGTCTTGGTTCTCAATTTTTCCCCTTGTCCCTGCCCTCCCTTCACCCCCTCCTCCAACTCTTCTTTAAAAAGAATAGAGGGACGTTCTTCCAATATGTCTACAATATTCAAGGATAAAGTGGGTAAAGGCTAATGTAACCTCCGGAATAATCCCATTACCTCTTTAATTCCAGATCATTTTGATTTCAGTTTATATTTGTGGACCAAAGAAAGTTCTAGGTTCTGTAGGCAAACAAGACGCAGTTGTTTCTGCTGTCAAAGAGATGGAAAACATCTGGGTCCTATTTTCAGTGCAAGTGGTTATGGACCTACTCTTGTTCTGGGCCTTGTATTGGGAAGTATTCGAGTTTTGAATATCATATTAAAGTTTCAAAGGAAGGAAAGGGTTCCATTTCCCCAGAGGTAAGTGGAAGCTGCACTCTCTGTCATTCTTATCATATACATTTTATATTCTCTGGCATCTCTTGCCTGGATCGGTTTCTACCCACCCTGCCCCTAGCTTCTCCTGTTCAAATGCGGCTTATTCTTTGATATCTTTCTGTACAAAGTGGTTTATGGTTATCTCAGCCCGTACTGATGGAACATCCTAGAAAATCATGGACAGAACCTGCTTCAATTTTCATCTGTATTACTTGTTGCTCTTCTTCCTCCTCCTCCTCCTCCTCCTTTTCCCTCTTCTTCCTCTCATTCTCCTCTCCTCCTTCTCTTCCTCCTTCTCCTGCTGCTGCTGCTGCCGCAAGTTTGGTTATCTTATTCACTGGCTCCCGGTTGTCTCCATGATTAAATCCACTCTTCTTAACTTGGCATCTGTTATGTGGCCCCAGCTACTTCTGTAGTCTCTGCTTCTATGTGCTCTACTTAATGCTTCTTTTACTTCTCCATCTCACACCCTTAATGCTCCAAACTCTCTACCATCGTTTTCATTGTTCTTAGCAACTACCAGGGTTTTGATTATTTGGGCTTTTACAGATACTTTTCCCTGTCTAGAGCAGCTGGCACTCATACTCAAAAGCTTTTGGGCAATTTTTATAGAACCTTCTCTATTATATGCCATTCAGTCATCTATTCATTTATTAAGCATGTATTGAGCACCTACTGTGTGCCGCACATTGTGCTAGAGGCTGAGGTATTTGCAGTGAAAAAAACTATAAAGGGAGAAAGATCTCAATTCACGTGGAGCTTATGTCACCAAGCAGTTAATTTAAATAGATTAGTTTAACAAATATTTGTTGTCTATCCACAATGTGCCCCGCATGTATGCTAAGCACTGGAGATACAAAATTGAATTAGGACTTAATCCCTAATCTCAAGGCTACGTGCTGGAGAAAGAAAAGTCCTACACAAGTCCTTTCCATGCATTGTTGTAAGAAATGTGACAATGGTAAGCGCAGGGTTTTGTGAAAGTATAGAGGAAGGGTACCTAACCCAGTTCTGAGGAGGAAGACAGGATTAAGGGAAGGGTTTTCTAGAGAAACTGGTAAAACTGAGTCCTAAGAGTAGATTGAGTCTTAAAAGTAGAAGGCACAGTTAACAGCTGAGCAAGACATAATATACTGAGATCTGAAGATAATTTGGGATGTCTGTAGTTTGAAGTTTAAGGTACAGGATAGGAAGAACAAAGATGAAGGAAGCTAGGCAGGACCAGATCCTAGAAAATGTCATGTACCAATACAGAGTAGTTTAAATTGCTGTTATTATTATTTTCAGACTCAAAGAGTGTATCAGAACACCTTGTGGAAATTACTTACAACCAACTAAAACCAACAAATCTGATGCCTTGGGCCCATCTCAGAGTTCCTGCATCAGAATCTCTGGTCATCTATATTTTTAACAGCTTTAAAAGTTTCAAATATACTCTAGAGCTTGAATATTTTCTTTTAATTATTTTTATTGGTACATTGTACATATACAAAATGGTAATATTCATCATATGGAATTTGTACTTGTATGTAATATATCTTGTGAGGCAGGTGGCAGAACCACTGAGCTAAATTCCCGGCCCTTATGTACGTAACATATCTTGATTCTTCTTTTTTCCTTTCCTTCCCCTCTCTTCAACCCTTCTTCCCCTCCTTATTAGTGAAAGACTTGTTTCCATTTTCCCATATATTCTTTTTTGTTTTTCCCTTTCTTCCTTTCCCGCTCTCTCCACCCTAGTTCCCCTTCCCATTTGAACACTTTCTACCTATTTCAAAATATCCATTATACATTTGGATCCTTATTTATACTTTGTTTCTCATACCAGAGAAACCATGTGATATTTGAACTTAAGTATTTGAATTGTTGCACTTAAAGAGTTTGGTCTCAAGGTGCATCCATTTAGCTAGAAATGTCTCAAGTTTATCCTTGTTTATTCCAGAGTAGTACTCCATTGTATAGAAAACCACATCTTTATCCGTTCATCTGTTGATGGGCATTTGAGCTGTTTCTAAGATTTATCTGTTACAAACTGCGCCAATATAAACATATATGTGCATATATCACTGTGGTATGGTACTTTTAATTTGGGGGACGACGCTAAGAATTGGAATAGCTAGGTCAAATGGAACCTATAGTTTTAGATTTTTGAGGAATCTCCATACTGATTTCCACAGTGATTGCACTAGTCTGTACTCCCACCAATTGTGGAAAAGGGTTCCTTTTTCTCAGCAGCCCCATCAGCACTTGTTATTGATTGATTGATTGATTTCTTTCTTTCCTTTTTTTTAAATTTATTTTTTATTTTTTATTTTTATTTTTTGGTACCAGGGATCAAGCTCAGGTTTCTGCACTTGTGAGGCAGGTGGTGGAACCACTGAACTAAATCCCTGGCCCTGATTGATTTCTTAATAATAGCCATTCTTTCTGGAGTGAGATAGAATCTCAGCAATGTTTTAATTTGCATCTCTTGAATGACCAGTGATGTCCAACATTTTTTCATGTATTTTTTTGCTATTTCTACTTTTTCATCTGAGAAGTGTCTATTCATTTCAGGTAGCAATTTTTGGATTGGGTCTTTAAATTTGAGGATCCTGGTTTTTTTCTTTTTTTGAGTTCTTTATATATTCTAGATACTAATCCTTTGTGTGAGGAACATCTGACAAAAATATTTTCCCACTCTATGTGTTTTCTTTTCACTCTGTTGGTAGTCTCTTTTGCTATGCAAAAGATTTTTAATATGATGAGATACAAGTTACTTCCTGTATAATCAGGGTTTTGTTCATAAAATTATGTACCTCTATGTCTTCTATCTTTCAGCAGATTTAGTGTTTCTTTTTTGGGGGGACAGGGTCTCACTGTAGAGTTGAGACTGACCTGGAACTCACTATATAGCCCAGGCTGGTCTCGAACTCACAGTGATCCTCCTGTCTCAGCCTTCCGAGTGCTGGGATTACAGGCATGCTCCACCACACCTGTCTGCTGTTTTAATATTTAGATCTTTGATCCATTTTGATTTAAATATAGAGCATTGTGAGAGATATAGGTTTAGTTTAATGTTTGGCTTGTGGAAAGCCAGTTTTTCTAGCACCATTTATTAAAGAGGCAGCCTTTCTTCCATTGAAGGTTTTTGGACACTTGGTCAAAGATAAGGTGGCTGAATGTGTTATTTCTGCATCTTCAGACATGTTTCATTAATCCTGTGGTCTGTTTTTTTTTAAAGGAATCTGTCCATAGGTATTAATGATCTTCTAGGTTTCTGCAGGATTTGTAATTTCGCCCTTTTCATTCCTAATTGCATGAACTTGAGTCTTTTCTTATTTTTTTTTGATAAAGTTGGGTGGAGTTTATCAATTTTATATAATTTTTCAAAGAACCAACTCTTTGATTCATTGTTTATATTGTTTTCTTAGTCTCAGTTTCATTAATTCCTACTCCAATCTTTATAATTGTACAAGCTCTGGGCTTGACTTGTTCTTTTTTTTTTTTAGAAGTTTGAGATTCAACATTAGGTTTCTTTATTTGAGCTCGCTCTGTTTTTCTGATGTGAGAGTTCATGCCTATAAATTTTCCTCATAGAAATGATTTTATTGCATCCCATAAGTTCTAGTATGTTGCACTGATGTTATTGTATAGTTGTAAAAACTGTCTTATTTCTTCTTTAATTTCATCTGTAACCCATTGGTTGTTCAGGAGAACGATATTTAATTTCCATGTGTTTATGACATTTTGTGGTTTCTTTTGCCATTGATTTTTCAATTTCATGGCATTATGCTCTGACAATATACATGGAATAATTTCAATTCCTTTGCATCTACTTAAGCATGTTCTGAGCTAGTATGGAGTCTATTTTGGAGAATATCCCATGAGCAGCTGAGAAGAATGCATATTCTGATGTTGTGGGGTGGAACACTCTGAAGGTATCTATTAAGTACATTGTTCAAAGATTTGGTTCAGTTCTGGTATTTCTTTGTTGTTGTTGTTTGTCTAGTTGATCTTTCTATTTGTGATAGTAGGATATTGAGTTCCCTCATTAAAATTATATTAGTGCTTACTTGATTTTTTTCATGTTCACTAACATGTTTTATATAGTTGGGTGCATTTGTATTTGGTAAATATATATTCGTGGTTGTTATCTCTTCCTCTTGTATTGTTGTCTTAACAAGGATATAGCGACTTTTTTGTTGATCAGTCTTGGCTTGAAGTTCCCTTTGTCTCCAAATAGATTAGCTACCCCTGCT